TGAGGAGGAAAATTGGGTTAAAACCCATAATTAACGAGGCAGCAGCAATTGCCTTGAAAAGGCTGAAATTTGATAATTTTTGGACTCTTAAAAGTCCACTAAGTGCAGCAGATTTGCAGCAGCCTCAAAGGGCTGGAAATAGCATTTTTCGGACTTCAAAAAGTTCGAAAACAGCACCAGCAATAGCAAAAGAGAAGCAGCAAGTGAACTTAAAGTTGTCCCAATTCTATTCGCACTTTGTCTCCGTCATATTGTGATTTTGTGATATTTGTTTTTAACTTCTAACATTTATTTTATCTGACTTAGATGAATCCTTGGAAGTTTTTAAGTAACTCTACTATTTCGTTAGTTGTTTATTTTAAATATTTAAAAACTCTTTCAAGTTAGGCAACTTAAGCTCTTAGATTAACTTGAGAATTATCCATATTCTTTCATAGTTAGTAATTAGCTTTGAATCCATGTTTATGAGTTTTGAATTAACTATTTAGTTCAAATTTTGACTAGGATAGAGTTGTTAAGTTTTTTTAAACTAAAATTAATTCTCTTTTAAAAATAACTTAAAGACTTTGTATGAATGACTTAAGGATTTTCTATATCCTTTCATAGTTAATAAACAAGGTCCCTTGATCCATGTTGGTGAGTTTGAATTAATTGTATGGTTCGAAACTTGACTTGGATAAAAGTCCCAAGTTAGGATTATTTTTGAGATTTTTACAAGCGTCAAAAGATTTTTTATCTAAGTTTCAAACAAGATTTTTATAAGTAATTCTTTTATTTTATAAAATTAGCCAAACTTTTAAATCCGTCGGTCAATCGTGTGTTAGCGGATTCTCTAAGATGCCTAAACCCTTCCTTAGAGAATTATTTGAACCCTTACCCGACTCTGGTTTTATTTAAAATATTTCCTTTCAAAAAATTCTTTTAGAAAGCGGGTCGTAACACATACGAATTGAACTTGTTTAACTATTTCAATACAAGATGAAGATACATAAAAAAAATGACAAGTATAACTCTCTCTATTTGTATTTCAATTTCTTATATTGTTCACATTAACACAATAGAAGTATCCAAAATTGTATGCATTCTACTCTACAAATTATCAATATGAATGCTATGTTTGACTAACACGGAAATGTAAAGTATTGATGAAAGTATAACAATACAAATATACATGTGTGTCGAACTATGTATACAAGTATTTTACTGTATACAAAATTGACAATCACACAACCCCTCAACAATATTTTTTTTCAACTATATACATACAAATTCAACTTGTTAAACTATTTCAATACTAGATGACAACACATAATGACAATTTGACATAATGAAAGTGTGTGTGTGTATAAATATATATATATATATATATATATATATAAATGACATTATTCTAAAATTATAAAGAACACAAACTTCAATCTCGTTTTCCTCCGATTCTTGTTGAACTACTCTTTTTCCACTATCACCTGAATCAACATTGTTGATTTTTTTTTCTAGATTGGTTTTCACTTTTAAAGGTTTTGAACCTTCTTTCCTCATTACTGATTTTGCATGTTCGATTTCTTCACACAGCTTCAATGGTATAAGATCATTAACCTTCTTTGTTCTTCTTTCTTTCTCAATCACAATAATAGATCCTGAAATTTTGACTTACTCTTGAGTAATATACAAATGATCAAAAGAAGGTATTTCATCCACTAATTTGTCAAATAAATGTATACATTTTGTAACTCTTCTCGGAGTACCACTTTAAACCATTGTAATGGAGAAACAAAATCTTCAATCGAAACCCTATGAAAAATAGATGAAAATATGTATGTATACAAATATAGTCTTCATAGAATCAAGAAAAAAACTACAATCATGTGATACATAATTCATACACACCATCAAACTTTTTTCTGGAATCGTGTAAAATGATAATGAATCGAAAGGAATAATTTGGGGAATGAATAAAAAAACATTGATGTAGAGAATTTGAAGAAAGAGAAAATGTTGATGATGGCAAGTTTGATGAGATAGAAACATTGAAAAAGGAAAATATTGATTACAATCGTTTAAGAAAGATGAAAATGTGTTTGACTAATTAATTATTGTGTAATAATAAGCATCCTATTTAATATTTATTTATATTTATATATATAAAAACAGATTATTTGTATATCATTAGCTTTGCTATTAATTGTGTATTTATATCCATCAAATATATTTTTTAAAAATGTAGCCATTTATCTTAAATGTATATTGATGTTTGCCATATTCTGTAGTTTTTCCTTAAAGAAGAGCTTAAAGAATAGCCAAATAAATTGGTAATTTAGCCGATCAAATTAAGAGTGTAGCCAAATTGAATTCGTTTGGTGAATTAGGCTAGTAATTAAATAGGACGAATTAGTATAATTAACTAACGAGTTTCTTAATCTTAACGAAATAAAATAAATAACTTAATTGTAAACTAATGATTCAAAATTATAACCAAAATTTAAACTAAACTAATTTAATAAAATACTTACTAAAATTAAAATCTTTTTGAGATGATTTTCGAAATGTTTATAAAATATACTAATTATATACAAAATTATATAAAACATATGTATTACTTTAAAATTATAAAAATGATAAAATTGATTAAAAGTAACTTGAAAAATATTTTGAACTTTATAAAAACTAATTATTTCGAATCGTTTGAAATTTAAGAAGTTCGGTGATTAATCTATATTGTTGAGGTCCAAAATTGGGTGTCAACACCCTTATTAATTATGAAGTAAATGAAAAGTTCTACATTTTTCAAAGTAATTAATCATTTAATTGATGGTATAATAAGTAAAAAAAAATTGTATTTTCTTGATTTGTCAAAATGGACAAGTAATTAGGGACAACTATAAATGAAAAAGTGGACACGTAAATAGGGACAGAGGGAGTATTATACAATGAACCCAACAATTGACAATTCAAAATATTTAAAAGATACTCCCTCCGTCTCTTTGAGTAGTCATGGTATCCTTTTTTAGAGTCAAACAATAAGCATTTTGACTAATATTTTACAATGTATTTTTTCATCATATTAATATGCAGAAAATTGTAATTTATTGTACATTTCGTATTGTTTTTGAATATCTAAATTTTTAGTTTAAAATATTGAATTAATATGATCTAATTTAACTTTAAAAATTAATCAAACTGTCTTTTAAAAAATATAACATGACAACTAAAATGGAACGGAGGGACGTAAATATTATTTCTCTGTAGGTAAAAAGAAATACTGAAACATAACTGAGACAGGTGGATGGAGTATTATTGATCCCCTCCCCAAAAATAAAAAAGGGACAAAATGGACAACACAAAACAAATGTAGAAATCAGCAAGACCTTGATTTGACTGCACAAGAATCTTCTTAATGTGTTATTTTAGCTTACATACAAGATATAATCAGTATTTGGAGAAATTGTTAAAAAATATAGAGTTATATATACTTCTTCCATCCTAATTTATATGGTAATGATTGATTAAATGCAATTTTTTTTAAAAAAAAAAAAAAAAACAATAGTTCATATTCAGAGATATGAATGAAAGTAGAGTATGACAAGAGAGGTTGTCACCTTTGATTTTAAGACGGTAGGTTCCGGTCATTAAAGGAGCAAAAAAAGATGAAAGCTTTGGGGGCTAAAAATAATATTTTCTCATTTTAATTTATTTGTCCAATTTTAACTCAGTATTTTAAAAAGCAGTATTAGGATACTCCTCAGGGATCGCCTCAGGATGGTGCTCTAGAAAAACGTCCTGAGACTCATGTGTGAAGCTTAATTCTATGAGACTTACGCCTTTAGTGCCAGTTATACGTCCTAAGCACGCTCAACGTCCAACGTGGGGCTCGTCTAACAGATCTTATACAAATTATATGTTAAATTCCTTAGTTAACATTGTTGACCCTCATAATTTTTTAATAAATGAATAATACTTAATAGTTTTTTCATTTATAGAAATAAGAAGATTGATAGTAACTCAAATAACAAGTCGTTGTATCACATATTTACTATTTGGTAATACTGTGAGGATAATTATATATTACGTAACATTTTTAAAAAAAATACATAGCGAAATTTTACTTCTTTCACTTATCATTGTTCTTCATATTTTATTTCATGTCTCAAAATCATCATATTTTATTATTTAGCTATTTGAAAATTATTTTATTTTTATTCATGATGGAGTGATGTTTTTATTGTAATACTAGTAATAAGTTTTATTGACTATTTTGTTTTAGGGGGTAAATTATATAGTATGATATTAATATATTTTTAGAAATAATAATTCTTTTATTATTAGAAAGTTAAGATATTAGAGTTGATTTTCACCTCATAATAGTTTTTATATCATTACATTTATTATACTTGTAAAATCATGTTAGTAATTTTATTTTTCATGTATTTTTTTAATCATGTTTGTAATTATTTTAAATTATTCATGCATTTTTATAATTTAGTGTTATTATACTATTTCACTATATTGTAAATTAAAATTTTAAAGATTCATTGGGCTTATCAGTGGCGGAGCAAGGATTTTCAATAGGGAGTTCAAAATCTGAAAAAATAAACACACAAAGTAGTCGAAGGAGGTTCGACATCTACTATATACATAAACAATTATTTTAACTATATATAAATAATATAATTTTCCATCGAAGGAGATTCAGATGAACCACCTAACTATAAGGTGGCTCCGCCACCAGGGGCTTACGCCTCATCATGTGCTTACTAAAATGTCCCATCTCACCCCTACTTTTTAGAATACTATTTTAACTTGACATGAAGTTAAAACACATCAAAAAAACTTTTAAACTAAAGATAAAATCTTAAACATGTGATATGAAAATTTGAAGGGAAAGAGACATTCCGTATGAAACAAATTAAAAATGAAGTTACGACAAATAAATTGAAACGAGGATTATCAATTCTATATAAAGAGAGAGAAGGAATAATAGGAGGTGTAGTTTGGGAAAAACAATGGAGTTGGATAGTTTCTTACCTCTTTTACTGTTAATTTTCTCATGTTCTTGCTTACCCGTTCTTCCTTGCCAAAATTGTGTCAAAGTTGGCAAATCAATCACTGGGAATCAGAAATTGGTTTCAGCTGATAGAAGTTTTGCCTTAGGATTTTTCACTCCATCAAATTCAACGTACACCTATCTTGGCATATGGTACAACATAATCCCTCAACAAACAGTCGTTTGGGTTGCCAACAGAGAATCTCCCATCCCACGGAATGCTTCACCAGTTTTCACTATCGGCGGTGATGGAAATTTAGTGATTTTCGATGAAAAAGGCAAACTCATTTGGTCATCAAATGTCTCATCAACAGCATCGGAATCATTACTAACTTCAAATTCTACTATCGGAATATTGTTAGATAACGGGAACCTTGTTCTCCGACACGGCGGTGAGCCCAATTATTTGTGGGAGAGCTTCCAGCATCCTACAGATACGTTATTACGCCATATGAGATTTGGTTTCAATAAAATTAGTGGCTTACGAAATGTGATCACTTCATGGACGAGTAATGAAGATGCTCGTCCCGGAAATTTCTCTTTTGGAATAGACCCTACTGAAGGGGTTATGCGTTTTGTAATTTGGAACCAAAATGGTATTTATTATAGATTTGACGATAGTTGCAGAGCGTATATACGAGCAACAGTGTGGTGTTTCACTGTTGTTACTGAAAATGATAATGTATATCTTAATTTAGCTTACTACAGAATCTTTCTGAGATTAAGAATCATTCTGAATCCGAGCGGGCACCTTCAGGTGATGGTGTGGAATCGGAATGGAAGTAACAAATGGAATGTTGAATTTGAAGCACCACAATCTAAGTGTGACCTTTACGCACAGTGTGGTCCGTTTGGTATCTGTGGGATCAGATCAAGTGGATTATGCAGTTGTTTAGACGGATTTGAACCTAAATTTTCGACAGATTGGGCAAATGAGAAATGGAATGGAGGTTGTGTGAGAAAAATAGCGTTGGGGTGTGATGGTGGAGATGGATTTTTTAAGCATGAGAATATGAAATTGCCAGATCATGCTGTCTCTTTAGGAAATATGAGTACTGAAGAATGTGAAACTCAGTGCATTAGGAACTGCTCCTGTTCAGCTTATGCTTGTACGAAAAACGCCTGTTTTATATGGCTTGGAGATTTACTGGATCTTGGGCATGACACTACTAACGGCAGAGATCTCTATGTTCGAGTTCACGTGTTAGAGCTAGGTATGTTTACTTGTATCATTGTTGGTTCTGTTAACAACAAGTGAAAGACTAGTATAATTTTCGTGTTGTGGATGCAGTTACTAATAATCTATCTGGGAATTCAGCTCGAAGATACAAAATTCTCACTGTGAAAATTGTTTCTGCAATTTTTACAATCTTGCTTCTTGTTAGTATCTCTGCTTTTATCTTCAAAAGAAAGCGCTTGAAAAGACGAGGTGAATCTACCATTTCTAGACTGTAATGATTTCAGATTTCATATTGTTTACGGTGCTTTGCCTTACTGATTGTTGTTTGGCACTAGATAAGATGGACGGAGATTCTGCTTTTGTTAGCTCCATGCCTAGTGGAACTTTAGTTGGGAAAGATGATATGAAGTTGGTACAGTACAGCCTGCAGAATATAAGAGACGCAACAAACAACTTCAATGAAAGTAACAAACTTGGAGAAGGTGGTTTTGGCCCCGTGTTCAAGGTGCAAAATTCAATATTTTGATGTTCGTATTTAATTTCATGAATATAGAGAATTGTGGCTTTAAACATTCTGTTTCAGGGATCTTTGGCTGAATTTGGAGACGTAGCCATCAAAAGGCTAAGCAGGAGGTCATCACAAGGACTGGAGGAGTTCATGAATGAGTTGAAGCTAATCGCGAATTTGCAGCACAAAAATCTAGTCAGCCTCTTAGGATGTTGCGTTGAAGGGGAGGAGAAGATATTGATCTATGAGTATATGCCCAATTGCAGCCTGGACAAATTTATTTCTGGTTATACTCATTAGTATTATTTTCACGAGAATCATAACTTTGTTTTCCTCATTTCCGTTGGCTAATTGGATATTCATTTTTTCTTTTAGACCCTTCGTTGAAGGTTACACTCGATTGGGATACACGTTTTGGGATAATAGAAGGAATTGCTCAAGGAATACTTTACCTGCATAAGTACTCGAGATTAAAAGTCATCCACAGGGACTTGAAGGTAAGCAACATTCTGCTAGATCAAGAGATGATCCCCAAAATATCAGACTTTGGAATGGCAAGGATTTTCGGGACTGATCAAACACAGGCCAGTACAAAACGAGTGGTTGGTACATAGTAAGTATAGTAGCCGCCTCTGTAACCATTTTTTATGTTACTACCTCTTGTGTATAGCTACTTAAGACTGACTTACGCCAATATGGCATAGTGGCTATATGTCTCCAGAATACGTAGTATATGGCCAATTCTCGGAGAAATCAGATGTATTCAGCTTTGGAGTATTGCTGTTGGAAATCTTGACTGGTGAACGGAACTCAGACTTCTTCATGACTGAAATTTGTATGTCTTTATTAGGATGGGTAAGTACACTCGCGCATTTGAAAACTCAGTCCAAGTTTCTTTTCGTTTCTTTTAACATTTCACGTCATTTGGCTTGTTAGGCATGGAAAATGTGGAAAGAAGGAAGAATATTGGAGCTAATAGATCCATCAATAAGGGCGACCTGCGACAGTAACAAAGCAACACGGTCTGTTCTGGTTGCTCTTCTTTGCGTTCAAGAAATTCCTACTGATCGACCAACAATGTCTGATATAGTTGTCATGTTAAGCAACGAAACAACGCCCATCCCTGAGCCAAAAGAACCGGCTTTTCGCAGCAGCTGGCGACATCAAAAGTTAAACAATTTTTCCATAAATGAGTTGACATTTACTTTGCCAGTACCTAGATGATAGGATTTAGCTTTCCTTATTTCATATGGAATTAATCTTATTTTGAAAAGAACCATCTTCTAAAAAATGTTTAGCACTGTAAATAATAAATCAAAAACCAATTCAATTACTCCCTCTGTCCCAGTTTATATCACTTACTTACCTTTTTTAGTCGGTTTCCAAAAAAAATGATAAATAATTTATAGGCACACAAATATTTATCACTTATTTTTCGACACAAGTTTCAAAAGTTATCTCTTCTTTCTTAAACACTAGGTCAATTAACTCATATATAATGTGACATAAGGAGTGCACCAACGCATTGGATAAACCATACACAATTGTTTCTATACCACTACAGTTTAATAGCTAGTTACCTAGCATCGCTATAGTTTCAATATTTACCATTCACAGCAAATCTTTCATTGTCAAGTGTCTATATTCATTGTATTCATTCACGTTCACGCAAAGAATATAACTTGTGTCAATTGTATTATGTCATTTTCTCAAAGAAAAAAAGAAGATAAGTGGAGATAGAAAGAAATCAAATTAAAGTGGATATACATATTGAAAAGCTTAAATTAATGATTAAGAAAAAAAAGATCGATGGCCCATTTGAAACTACAGAAATGTTTCTCAGCCCTTCTAATTCAACTATTTTCTACTATATTATAAAAGGGAGTTTAGGAATAATATATAATATTCAAGATTGAGACTTTTCCCAATCTTTAATATTAGAGGATTTGACACAGACATACAACTATTATATATAATTGGCAATATATAGCCCAAATTAAATAGCAATTAATAGCCTAAAACAAAATTAGCACGTATTAGCCTAAAAGAAATAAAACCCACTTTTTATAGTTTTTTTCTTTTAATCATGTGCAACCAACCCGCATTAATTAAGGAGATGTGGGATTGTTTTTTCTTCCTTGTTTTTAACTCCTATAATTAAGGAAGTTAGCTTTTCAATTTCTTTAAATTCTCAAACTCAACTTAATTTAACTGTCTATTTAAAAAAAACATATTAACGCAATTTACAGAAACATAAAGATATATTTGATTGTAATTTTATGATTTTTTTTTTACCAATCAACAATACTTAGTTTATTAGAAAACTGATTGCCTACTTTTAAGAAGTAAAATATATATATTTATTAATTAACCCATTCAAAAAAGGTTACACCAACTTTTAAGGAATTCTTTAAATAACTTATTAAAAGATTGTGACTACTTTTAAGGTAAGAAAATGTATTATTAATGCTCTAACGTGTATTAATTATCACATAATCGACAATAATTAATCATATAATATTAAATGACATTTTATTAGAAACTGTAATAATACATATGCATGAATTATAAAATAATTAAAGTTGTGATTACATAATGTATACATAAAAAAAAATGTATTCAAAAAAAAATTCATAAAAATAGACATGTAAATTTTATTGATGTATACAGTAATTGTAGCATGTATACATAAACTTTATATTGTATACATAAGAATATTACCATCAGTTATACGTATTACTATAATGAATACAAGAATGAGATTAATATTATACATATATAAATTTTATTCATTAATTGTACATGTGATTTTGTTTATGTATATGGTAACTGCACTATGTATACATTAGTTCGTATTCATCGTGTATTCAGTGATTTGTATTCACATAATAAACTTGTATACTTTAATTTAAATTGAGATTGGAATTCATTGGTATACATTGGGTTGTATTCATCAAAATCAACATTCTGATTTTTTACGAAGATCCAACAAGAATCTTTCCCATGAAATTGAGAACAAAAATTTCAAAAAACTATTACCTGAATTTTCACCAAAAAAAGTTATAAAAACTTTAGTTCCACAAATCACGAAATTTCAAAATTAATGGGACAAGAAATGCTACATAATTATATATTAAAAGAAATTATTGGAAGGATCAATAGATAAACATACAGTTATATCTGATTTGCATAGACAGAGTAAATTAAGGAGAATAAGAGAAAATTTAGAAGAGAAGCAAATATAGATATGAAAAGGGTTTTAGAAAGAAAACAAAAGAAAGTTGAATAACCTAAATTTTCACAAAAACTTCAATTCTACAAATCATGAAATTCACAATTAATTGGACAAGAATAAGATTATATATAAAGATGATTTTTTAGAAGTATCCATGAAAAAAATATTGTTATATCTGATTTTCATAAACAGATTGAATTAAGGAGAAAAATTGAAAATTAGGAAGAGAATCAACTATACGTATGAAAAGAATTCTGGAAAGAGAAAAAGGAGACAAAAAAAGAGAAGAACTCTATTTTAAAACTGTTGACAAAATAATAATAAAAAAAGATAAAATAGGGATAATAAACCAATAATTGTTTTTTCAAGAAAAAAAAAAGCAGCAATCAAACGTGTGTTTGAGAAAAATAAGGAGGACAAAAATACATTTTTAAAAAAGAAAAGAAAAGAAAAATAACAATTCAATGCCAAATAAATAAAACAAAGTTTTTTTCTTGGGCTATTTATTGCTAAATTAGTCTATAGGGTGTCATGCTGTGCCATTTTATCTTAATATCATATATTATACTTGTGGGACTTTTAAAATTTCTACTATGCCCAATTATAATATATAATATTCAAGATTGAAACTTTCTAAAATATTATATATTATATTTTTTATTATATTATATTATATTATATTATAATTATAACTATATTATAAAAGGGAGTTTATAAAAGGGAGTTTATAATATTATATATTATATTTATTATATAGTAGAACTTGGGCATAAACTCCCTTTTAAAATAATATATATATATATTGATAATTATTGTAATTTTTAATGCTTTTTAAGTCATTTGTAAATGATATATGTTGATTCCTTGATTGGGACTTTTCCATTTGTGACATATATATATATAATAATAATAATTGGGCCTAAACTCCCTTTTATAATATAGTAGAAATAAATATATATATAGAAGCACCAACCTTATCTCCTACTTTGATGAAAGAAGCAATATAGTCTTATATCAACTTTTTTAGATGTTGGGCTTCCTCAGTTGCCTAGCACGAAAAGTTCTAAAATTAGTTATATATAAACTTCAAATTCAAGAATATTAGTTATATATATATATATATATATATATATATATATTCAAGTTTTAATAAATTCAAGTTTTCAATTCAAGTTCATATCTAATTTCTAAAATTAATTAGTTATATATTCAAGCTAATTAGTTCCAAGTTCAAGTTCTAATTTCAAGTTCAAGTCTAAGTTCAACTTCAAATTTTAAGTTCATGTTCAAAGTTCAAGTTCAAGTTCTAAGTTCAAGTTCAAATTCTAATTTCAAGTTCAAGTTCTAAGTTCAAGTTCTCACCTCCTATGACAGGTCAACGTTTAAGTGTGTAGAAAATAGAGAAATATGAAGTTCAGGGGTAATAGCACACCCGTGAAGTTGGAGTGTGTAGTTGAGATTTCAAATATAGGTTGTGAGGTTTTTAGACCATTTACTCTTGTTTTGACTTTAAAACTCTATCATTGGTATCAGAGCAACTATTTTTAAATTTTAGCCTATTTAAATATTAGACTAATATGCAATTCAAATTGACTGAGGAGAAACTTTGTCGTCTAAATATTTTTTAGAAGACATTTAAATTTTTTTGGTATGTGTTATAAAATTAAGCTTAGAATAATACAATATAAAGTGAACAAGACAAGTTAAGTAGAGAAAGGAAAATAGTTTTCTTCTAGTCGAGTGTGTCATCCAAATGTTGAATGATATCTCTATCTATAATGTTGAGATACCACTCCCAAAGGTAACCAAACTAGTAGATGTTGACACTCAATTTTGGCCTAATATTTTCAAAATTCGTAACTTTTAAGATTTTTTATAATTTTAAATAAGTTTATTGATAACTATCCTTAATTATCAAAATTTAAGATTTTTTATCAATTAATTTTAAAATTGCATTTTTTACATGTCATTAGTTACGTTCATTATATTTTTTATATATTTTTTTTTAATATATATTCATTTTATTTGCTACATTCGTTAATATTCATTTTGATATTTTGCACAACCTAGAAATTTATTCAAATACAGATAATATTTCATACACAGATATTTTGTTGATCGATAATTTTGATCCACGATTTTAAAATAATGATACTATAGTTTCCAACTCCCTATATAAAGAATAGTTTGTCTATTAGGTCAAAGGGGGGGGGGGGGGGGGATGAATTAATTTTTAGGAAGGAAGAATTCAAAATGTGTAAAAAACCCTAATTTTTTCCTCTTCCATTTTTTCTCCCTTAGCCTTCACCAGCCCAAGACCCTTTACTTCTCGCTGCTACAGTGAACAAACCACCAACCACCGCTACCCTTTCTTCTCCAGCGATCCACAATACAACAACCACTCCAATAACCACCTGAAACCATCAAACTCACCTACGAAAAGACCCAAAACCCCTCACACTCTTCTCGGCTTCTCCGATAAACCAGCAGCTCAAGCTCATACGAGCACAAAAGCTCCATCCATAGCTCCGGCGAAAACGCAAAACCCACGTGAGCGCCTAACTCACACGACCAAACAAGCTCCACCAGCTCATTTCTGGAGATCGAAGCAGACCCTTCCCCCTTCACCATTTCTCTTATACTTTTGCACGTCACTGGCAGTCCCGAGTTCCGGCGAACATCAAGCCACAACCAGCGAACCACCAAGACCTAACAACTGGACGCCAGATCCAACCAGCTCCAACGAACGACAACACGAACTCCAAAACTCGACTAGTAACACAAATCTCTCTTCTCCTTATTTCTATTTTATGCCATTATATTGGTATTATTGTTGTTCACCGATCTTCTGGGTGTGTTGGTCTCTGTTACGGTGACTCTTCTGTTTAGTTAATTATTTATTGTTATGGTTTTAAATGTTATTATTACCTTCTTTTATTCTTTGTTTGTTATAATTTTTTATTAATAATTTGCAATGGGTTGGTAATTG